AATGGATTCTCCCCTTGCTGAATTGTTCCACCAGGTCCCGGGTCCCAGGACCCATCACAGTGACAGTGTACGTGGTCTCCGTCGTTTCCGTTGTCGCCTACGTAATTAGCCTACGAAGATGAAGCAGTCGGAAAAGGGTGGCATCAGGAGGAAAGAGGTAGCTGACGCGGGAACGGACATGGAGAAGGACGATAGACGTACGATAACGGATGGGAGATCGGTGAAACTCCCTTCAGATTCCCTCTTCGAGCGGAGAGAGGACATATTTATATATATGTCCAAGCAGGAGCTTCTGGATGCGAGATTTTTATTCCGCGTCTCCGTTCGACCCCTCATTCTTCCCCATACCTGGTGGAATCTGTCTCGGTATATCTCGCACTACGAACATTTGCCTTTGTCTCTCTGTTGCCTCCATGACCCTCCCCCTCCGGTTCTGGAATTTGTCGTCTATTGTATGTACATGTTGGTGCACACGCATTCGTACGTCGGCTGTCGAAAGAACATCCACGATGCGACGTAGCGTGAAGTCGCTCGTCGCTTCAGAAGCTGCTTCCGTCCCTCCGTCGATGTCGGAACGGCTCGAGACCGAAGTCGACGAGAGGATACGAAGGCAGACCTTCTGACGCATGTCTGACGCCAACTTTCAAGAGGGAGACGACCTTCTCTATTTGCTCCGAGCGCGCTTGCCTTCCCCCGAAAATCTCTCTATCTTTTCCGCGAGTTGTGTATCTGCGATCCTCCGTTTTTCCCGCGCATATCCCTCGCGTTCCCCGTCCGTCGGTCTGTTGACTGGCTGGCTCAGGGAGATCAACAACCCTGAGCCGAGAACTTTGTTCTTAGCGATAGGCAAGAACAAGTGACGACACACAAGAAGGAAGTAGGTACTTCAGAGAACAGATGATCAGAAATATTTGTTTAGGCTAAATATGAATTCCCTACTGGGACGGGGGAGGCACGGGTATGAGAACACAGCCGCTAGAAGAATGAGACGTGTCGTCGGGAGAGCAGTAGATGTTTTTCTAGTCGGCTTTCAGCTGGTACACATTTCGCGGCCTGACTCTGGTCAAATAGCAATGTTGCAGACGCTTGTTCGGGAATGCAGACCCCCGTAATGACGCCATCGCTCCATTAGCCTAGCCTCCTTCTGCTCTTTTCGGCTGCTCCTCTCCCGTTTCTCTTTATGATGAAGGCTTGAAGTACTTGGCCCAAATAACGACGACCGCCGGGAAACGAAAAGAGAGTTTCGTCTCCCCTCGTCATTCCTCGCCCGCGCTCCCGAGATTGAAATCTGCGCCTCCTTGCTCACGTTTTCCTTGAGCTTGGTAGCTCTTTTCTCTCTCTCTTCACCCGCGCTTCCAGTGGTGCTTCAAACGCAGTCAGGACTTCCGCGCGATGCCCGCTGCTTCAAGAGCTTTCAGCCGCTGCGCTTCAGGGGCCGACCCGGGCCTCTCTCAAGAATCGTACTAACTGCTCAAACAGTACCCCCCCCCCCCACTAGCGCCCGACCAGCAGCCGAATGGGTGAAGGAGGTGCTTTAGCTTCCTTTTTTCGAGTTCCTTCCCCCTCCCGAAAAAAAATTAGATTTCAGACCCTCGCTGTGAATCCGTTCGCGCTGTCGCTTCGTCCGCCAAAAGACAAAATACATAGAGCAGCCACCGAGGCGGTCTGGTGGAAAGCAACTTCCGCATCGGCGACTCTGAGGCATTTGCGGAGGCTATTTGCGCTTTCCCGCTTGTTTCGCCCGAACCTCTGGACTCTGTCATTTGGATCCTCGCTCTCTTGCTTATTCCTCTCAATTCCTCGTCTTTCCGCGAGGACTCCAGTGAGAGCGAGAGCTCACGCTAAGCACTTGATTCCAAGGCGAGCGACCAGGAATTCGCCACATCTCCCTGTTGAGGGGAGCCGCCATCCCGCCTGAACCCTTCCCCCTTCATTTACTCATTTTGTCATTTACTTGAGAGACGCGAATTTCTTTCTTTGACCGTGAGTTCTGAGTGACGGCGTCTTGTTGCGTCGCTTGATCTACGTTCTCCAGCCGCTCCCGTTGATAGCGAGGGAGTGGTCGCCGCCTATCTTCTCGCTCCTACAAATTACGGATGCTGCTCACCATTCTGTTCTGGTCTCCTCGTCTCCGATTCCCGATCCGGAGAGCTGGTGTGCAAACGGAAGAAAAACATTGCGGTCGATGCCGAGGGGGCCGGCCCTCGATCCAGTAAGGAGGCAGAGTCGTGGCCAGTCACGGGAAGGAGGCTTCTGGTATCGACGATCACCAGAAGAGCAGAAAATATCACTCGAATGAGTCTTTCTTAGTTCATCAGGTCTCTCACTATGTCGCGAAGTAAGAGAGTCTCAGGGACTACCGAATTTCTTTATTGACCCCGTTTCGAGTCAAAGCCCGATCTACTCGATTCGGCGACCAATCGGACGAACTTTGCTCTATTACGTCGGATGATTGTGAATCCCTCGGTGAGTAATTAGCACAGCGTACTGACTCCGGCAAGGACTCTACTCTCGAAATCAGAAGTTCGAGCTCAATTAGGTGACGGAACCAATCGAAGCAGATAGTCCGAATCCGGGGCGAAGATCCATTTCTTCTTGTTCTCCCTCTCGCGGTACTCTTCGGAGTGATACGGTCAGGGGAAGGACCGGATAATCGGCGCTCTGTAGAATATTCCGATCACGCTCCTCATTGTCATCGACCGTGAAACTAGGACCGTCGATTTTGACCTTCAGAACGCATTAGTTTTGTGGGGCAATTCCGCTCATTCCGAACTGAGCCACAATCTGAATCAGCCTCCAAAATATGAGAGGTTCCTCTTGAGGATAGCGACGGACGTCGATTCTCTTGTCGCTCTCCGATATCCACTGCTTCGAACGACATGCACAATCACGTCCTTAGAGCCCCCTCGACTACTGGGATGGACGAATCAATGCACGTGGAACGAAACGTTTTCCCGCTTTGTGAATCCTCAGCTCCATTCCCAAGAGCACCTGTCGGACGGACATCGAAATCATCGAGGGTTGTGAGACCCTATGCCCTTCGCTGTCGCTAGGAACATGCGGCTTTCCGGGCGTGAGGCGACGCGACGTGTTCCAATATGATGTCGGGCCAGCTAAGCACTCGAATATCTCGTCCGTTTGAACGAGCGCCCATCCCGCGTGAAACTGATCTAGGTACCATAGTAGGCGATGAGCTCGATTAAGACTGATGGTGGATGGTTGCTGTTAGTGAGATCAGTCTCCTTCATCATAACAACTTTCAGAATGAGGAATTTGAGAGCTCTTCGATTCCCTCACGGGGGCGAGAGCGAGGGCCTCAGCGAGAAATTCCGCGTTTCAGACAGGGCTTGTGGATTCGCGATTCATGGTCACGCGTAAAAAACGGGATTGCTTTCCAATTCCAGCGGAGGTACGCAGTTGGAGAAAGCAACGACGACTGCGAATATTCTCGTGCGACGCTCCCTGAGAGCTGGCCTCCAAGAAGCTCCCCGCCAGACCTTGTCGATGCCTCCGATGCACTCGTTCCTGATGCGGCCTGCAGGGAGGGAATATACGAAAAATATCCAAGGGAGGGAATGAATGAAAAACATCCCAGGAAGGGAATGGACGAAAAATATCCCAGGTAGAAAGGGGTAGTGATCGGACGGCTTATCGAGGAACGAGAAAGGAATTTTCCCTGGACCCGGTGTGCTTCCGCAAGGTCTACAGCACCTCCGGAACTATATAGTCGGGTCGCAGACTCGAAGCGCATAATGGATACAAAACCAACGAATGTCCTCCATCCCTACGTGGGAGTAAGTCAATAGGCTCGAGAAAGAAACGTATCGTACACCGTATCGAGTTCCAACCCGTATTCGGTCATGATCCCTTGCGTCATCTCTCGTGAGGAGAAGTAATTGCGTACGACGACGTACGCGTAACTACAACTCCTCCGGGATGACCACCTGCCCTGTTCTGATCTGCTTTGCCTCGAGGTTTTTGTGCTCACTTAGCTCGTTCCCGGGTCTAAGCCTTAGTTGGTTCTTCGGGTTGGTTCTCGGCTCAATTCGGCTACTCGGTGAGGCTCCGGTGACCCTCCCTTCCAGCGCGTAAGGCACCGAGGCAAGCACGGACTTTGTGCGCCCGCCGGCCAGCGAGCCGAGCGCGCTGGCGGGTCGGCAGACAGGCCGGCAGGAAGGAAGGAAGCAAGCGAGCGCACCAAGCTACCCTCTCCGAGTCTCCGCACGGCGCGGGACATCACAAGAGCTCAGTAGTGAGAATTCCTCCATTGGGCGTGCGTCCCCCGAATGTGAGGATTCCGAGAGTCACATGTGCTGACCGTTTCAAGCGAGCGCTGGATATACATTTCGTCACTGTGGTGGAAACGTGGCCGGAGTCGTTCAGTAATACGGCGGTTCTTGGATTTAATACCCGGAGTTGTATTCTGTGAGGTGCCACTCGTTAGCCGAGATCATGCGAAATCGCTCCAGAAAGTGAAGGCCCCAATCGTCGACAAAGAAGTCGAGGAGTTTCCCCCGGTTCGCGGGACTCCCTTCATAATTGACAAATAATGCTCCCGCCTGGATTCCGGTGAAATTGCAGGGAGCAAGACTTCGGTTAGCTCGCTCCCATATCCACGTCAGGGCTGTCGTCTCATCTCCGGAGTGTTCTCGGCTCTCGCTGGAATCGGAAGATCGCAAGGGATCGGGACGACTGAGGCTGTGATAGGAATCTTCAAATTTCTGCATCGAAAGCACCGGGAGCTCCTCGTCGTAAAACTTCGGAAGCAAAGCGTTGTTGCCGCGACTCGCGCGGTGTTCGTCGATGTGAACGTGTCTCGGTGGATATGGATAATTCCAGAGCTATAAACGGTGACAGCAGCAGAAGCAAAAGAAGAAGCTCCCCCGCTCCGATGCCATGCAGCCTCAGGATTTCCGTTCGTGAGAACAAAGCACGCGGAAGGGACGCGTAAAAAAGTCTTACGTCAATCGGCTCGAGTGATGGAGCACTCGAACGTCAAGATGCCGGCCGCATCCAACAATCATCGATGCTCGTCGCGCATCCACAGCAACCGTAAGAGGGGCGGATGCTTTGTGTGCTTCCGACGTTTCGCGGCCTTTCTATTCTCGCACGTCGGGCTTTGTGGACTTGTCGTGGGCTACTCGATCCTCGGCGCGTTCACGTTCCGTTTCCTCGAAGCGCCGCATGAAGTCGAGAGGGCCGGCACCGTTATCCGGCTGCGGGACGAAACCGTCTCGCGTCTGTGGGAGATCACTGATCGCTACAACGTTCTCTACCGCGACAACTGGACGGTCGAAGTCAGCAAGGAGATGGTCCACTTTCAACAGCGACTCATCGAAGCTGTCAAGGACGGCTACGACGGAAAACCAAATGTGCGTCGCTGGTCCCTTTCGGGAGCCTTTTTGTACTCGCTCACAGTCATCACCACAATTGGTAAGTGACAGAGCCTTAGACCCGTTTTCCGGTTTTTATACTCCTCGGTGCGGTCTGCGAATTAGGGAATCGACAAATCCTCGACACATAGTCAAAATGATAATTATTCTCAGTGTGGCGTTCGGTGAACCTTTCCGTGCCTGTCACACATGATGGGGATCTGATGGAGTGGTTCTGAATTCAGACAAAAAAAGTTCGTTGTGATCCGATTCTACTCCGGAGTCAAACGAGTTTCGACGAGTGTTCTATACTCGGATGACCACTCCAATGCAAACTCGTTGCCGAACCGGACACTCGTACACGCTTGATTAGTTTAGCTAATTCAGCGTCGAAACAATGAGCTGCGCTCGCGTGACCTCGGGCTTGTAAGTACTGTAAGGGATGAAATTTCGGAGTGAACTTTCTGCTACGCACTCGCGACAATACCCTCCGTCTGTGCCGCCGGTCGGAAGTGACTGCGCTATCCGACGATCCAATCGAGTCGGCTCGGGAATTCGATAACTCGTCGGAATCTCCAAGAATCCAATAATTCAGAACGACTGTGGATGACAGCTTGCAACAGAAGCCGAGAAGAAAGAGAGCACGTCAATCCACAATAATCCTCTCCGTTCATGCTCCCCACGACCGATCGACGACCGAATGAACGAGAGGCGTAGATCTGGCGGCAGGACCAGCCGACCGAGTGACTGGCTGACTGGGGTGTTGTGGGAGTGGAGTGGAGTTAAAAAAACAAGGAGACTCCCTTCGAGATCGGCCACTCCTCGAAGGAGTACTCCTATCGCCGTCAAAACAAAGCCGAATTCGTCCGCCGTTCGAAATCTCTTCTGTCAAAATATCCCGGCCATAATAATGTGACATCTTCCGATGACTCTTATCGCTGACGGGATCGACCTGCCGGTGGTGGAGTGCGCCGAAGGTGAAAGGATGAAGAGGAGAGGGATCGGTGGCACAAATCGATGGGATCCGGGGCGTGATTTCGATGAGGGGATCGCGGGGAGAAATCCCCGATTTCCGCGCCGTTCGCCCGGATTCTCTTCCTGATTCGGTCACAAGGAAACCACCGACGAGCCTTAGGGCTTTCTGCCGTCATTCCCGTCTGCGGTCGCTCTTCAAGGACAAGCCCCATCCGGCGCCATACACGCGGTACGGAGCGTGCGGGAATTAGTGCGTTAAGCAGCGCCCTCCGCCGATGTGTCCGATTTCCGGATTAGCTCCGTCAAGCTGGAAGCCAACCCGAGACGCCACCTAACGATGTTTAGCAGCTGGCCAAGGAAGCTCGGACCGTCCGGGCCACCTGCTTTATGAGGGACAGAGTAACTCAGTCACTCGCTCGCCTACTCGCTAAGCCCTTCAGGGACCTGGACATCTAGCTAGTCAGTCAAGCGGTAGAGCAAGCAAGCAAGTAAGCTTCAGCGCAACCACCAAAGCAGGCAGGGGGCACCTAACCAGCCAAGCAAGCCACCCACCCAGCAGCCATCCAGACAGAGACGGTCCTATAGATGAATCAGTCATGCCGCACGTAACTAACCAAGTCGCGTAACGGACAGAAATATGTGCTCTGTGGACCGACCGAAAGAGCGACCGTGAGTAAGCGAGTGTTTGTTGCTAATGGCACCGAAAGGATGGTCGCTCAAATGAACAACAAACAGCTGGCCGCAAGTACAAACAACAAGAGTAATACGCGGTCCGCACGAACGATTCCGAGCTAAGTGAGGCAATTTTTTGCCGACCTCGTCATCCCGATTTTTTGCTCTAGTTTGGGATCGAGTTACCGGGAATCAGCGACGGCGGCAAAGAATCGAGTTTGAAACTGTGCCGGACCATATCAGCAGAAAAAGACGGGCGGAAGACAATAATTTGCTGTCGCCAAGCGCTCCGATATGGCGCGGCGTCTCTCCACCATTTAAGTGGTGTAAGTTTTCGTCCCTGATGTCGGCGATAGCTGTATGAAGGTCCTTCCCCCTTGTTTTAATATTGGAGATGGGAGCCGCTGTCGAGTGTATTAATGCCGAGGCTTGAGTCAGTAGAATCGGTGGCGATGATGGTGGTAGTGCTGGTCGTGGTGGTGGTGGATGCTTCCATCGTGCCCCTTCAGCGATAACAGCTCAACTCGCTCAATCTGGTGTGTGTTTTCCGAGCGGCGCGCCGCGGACACGGGGTCGGAGGGTATTGTGGATGCCCAGTGGCGTGAACGACTCTTCGAGTCACGTCCACTTTGTAGATAGTGGTCTCCCGTCTGCCTCCTCGGTCCGCGGTGACTGTGTTCATCCTTTTCTGGTCCGCTGCTTTTTCAGCTGTTCATTTCTCCGACGCCGATCCTACGACGCTTCCACTGCTGCATCTCCCTCCTCCACCGCGTTGACTGCTGGGATGATCCCATCCACATGATTAAGGGAATGAATCCACAGAGGTCAGAGGTGCGAGTACTCGGTCGAGGCGACCGAACAATTGCTCCGTGCGGACTAAAGCAAGCTCCGAGAAAGAGCATAGTGGAGGAGAGATGCGAATCATCGAGTTCAATCTCCGGTAATCGATCGATGGCAATTTCTGGAATATTCGGGAAGACATGTGAGTAATGAAGCGAACTACGGAGGCCGATGTCTGCAATAAACGACTTCTCATTCGGAATCGTGCCTCGCCAGCTTCTGAGGGCTTCTGACGAGATCCCATGGCCGAGAGTTTGATGCGGAGGCAAGAACTCTCTCAACGGGTCTCTCGGAGCTTCACGCGCAAACACACAACAACGTTGATGAAGGACATCGTCCCGAACATTTCATGCACGATTCTCCCCTGCGCTGGGCCATCGGCGATCGCAGTGTCCGTATGACGATAGATCATGACGTATGCTCTCCACGTGGCGCTAGTCGTAGGATCCGCTATCTCGAAGACTATCCATCCAGCGATCCGAACACCTCCAGGTATCGGCGATGATGCTGCTATGTTTCGATTGGCGGGAGCTCAAGCTCGAGAATAGCAGGATCGAGCGACTAGACACTCTGGGGATTCCTATCTGGCCAATTATGAGTCGGGTATAAGCCCGCCGCTGTTGTTAACAATGTATCAATGAGACGAAGCTGTTGACGTAAAGCGGATCAATTGCCCCAGAGCCTTCAGTCAGGGCTCATTCTGAGCTTCTGGGTTCCACGGGGGCTATCCTTCCGTTCGATTTCTCTCATCCCTTCATTCAACATGTCCGTTTTTATGCTAAACTCTCTACGGTCGCGTTAAATCTATCTCGGATGTTTATGCATGTATACCATATGTTCCGCGCGAGAGGGAGCTTCCGGGCGGGGCTGCGCAGGGAAAAATCTCCTGATCAGACCAAGTCAGAGCTTTCACGGACGACGCGGGGAACGGAAAACGTTCCGAGTTTGACACGCGATTCCAGTTCTTGACCCGGGCCGGATGGCGTCGAAGATCATCGCCGCCATCGAATCTGATGTCGGCGAACTTTGCTCTATATTTATCGGTGAAAATTCTCATCTGGGAAGGAATGGAGTGGGTGTTCGGCCGGACCGCTCGATTCCGTGGCGGAAAACCTCTTATCAAATTCGCTTCTTCCTCTGTGATGACCGGACAGGGAGATTCTACCAGCGATTTCCTTCCGCACGATGATGATGCTCCTCTTCCCTATTCCCACCACAATAAAGTTAGCTGCTCCGCTTCTGCTGGTGCCTATGTTATCTTGTACCTTACGAGAGGCTTTTCCCTCGGCCTGGCGAAGCAGCGAAGTCCATCCCCGTCAAGACCAGGTCGCTCCCTGTCCTTCCGTCTATCGGAACGAGAGCATCTGTTGTTCGTTTGCGGCTCGTCCGAGACCCGCACATGTTTTTCTGTCAGACACGGGAGGAGGGAAAGCAAAGAAACAACGAGAACGCCACTCGTGCAGCCGGTCGATCCGTTCGCTTCTTGCCGAGCGAGCAGCCATCCAATCAGAAATGAGCGGAGACGATATTCCTTCGAGGAGAAGACGCCACACATCAATAGTTTCATATCTTGCTGAAAGCACAACAACAAGTACTGCCCATGTATATGTACTCGGACAGTGTAACGAAAGTCTCTCCGATCGACCAGATTGGAGACGTCATCACGGATTGAAGTCGACATTGTTCGCCCTTCTAGAGAATCTCGGGGCGGTTGGCTTCAGCGACAAGGCGGCCTTTCACGGGGTCCGCTTGCCCTTCCGACGTCGTTCATCTTCACTAAGGACGAGAACAAGCGAGAAGCTCCTTCTAGACTCCAGAATTTTCCCTGTTCTACGAAGTTACTGAAGGGTCGGAATAAGTCTCCCGGGACCTAATCGTGTAGAATCGAGAATGACGCCTCGAGGAGCTTTTCGCTCGGGCTATCCTACGGGCTGAGAGAATCCTTCTCAGATTTTCAAGTCCTACGGGTTCGAGATGAGCTTCGTGATCCGCGATTGCGCCGGCGGTCGCATCATTCGCGCCAGTCCCGCGCCTACCCGCGTCAGCGTCGCTCCAATAATAAAGCATTCACCGATTCGGAGGAATTCTTCGGGGGAGCGGTGACCTTCAGAATCGTGAACCCGTCGATGTGTGACGGAATACGTGGGAAAACATTCCATCATCCGAGCCAGTCTCATGCAGAATCGCCGATCTCTGATGAATGATCCGAAGAAAGTCAGTAATCCGTGTTGATCTTGATGTGTTGGAACCCAGACTCGAGTGAGCTCACTCAGTCGCTTCGTTTAATTCGATTTCTATTGGATATCGATCCGGGAGACTCCGGACACCTGCACGGCACCAAGTAAATGACCCCGCCTTCTGTAATCAGGTCTCGGTGTCCTTGCCTCGCTTCTCCCCGCATTTGTTCCGGTCTCTCTAAACACTCCGATGTCCTCCGACTGTTTGCACAAAGACTCATCCTGTACCTCGAAAGCATCCCCTGTGACTTTCGCGTTCCGGGTCGCAACTTATCAGGATTAATGATAATCGAAGCGGCATGCTCGCTCAATGTGAATATTACCGTCGGCCGTAAAC